CAATATTTAAAATTAAGAACAGAGTATAAAGAGGCAGCTTGCATCATTAAAAGGCAAGATTAAAGCTAATTATAAAAAGTAAATACTAAAAAGGAACAAACAAATGCCACTCTGAGAAATGGAAAAGCTCAAAATGGAAAACACTAGTACAAAAAATCCAGTCAAAGCAGTAATGCATGACAATCCATCTAAAAACCACACACTGGTAGCTAATTACTGGGGGAAGGCTTGCCTGAAGAGAAAGCTCCTTGCCTGCCTGCGGAAGGACAGCAAAGATGGGGCTCATCTGTGGGACCAAGTTCCAAAGTCTGGGAGCAGCAACAGAGAAGCCTCTCCCCAGACACATCTGTGAAGGTGGTGGTACTGAGAGAAAGGTCTCTCCTGATGATCTTAACATCTGAGCTGGCTCATAATGGGAGATACAGTCTTTGAGATAGCTTGGACCCAGGTCATTTAGGGCTTTATAGGTTAGAACCAGCACTTTGAACTGTGCCGAGAAACTGATTGGCAGCCAGTGGAGTTGCTGTAGCCAAGAGGTTATGTGATCCCTGTAACCAGTTCCAGTCAGCAATCTCGCTGCTGCATTTTGGATCCACTGAAGTTTCCTGACACTTTCCATCAGCAACCCCACCTAGAGAGCATTACAGTAATCCAGCCAGGACGTAACTAAGCCATGTGTCACACTGGTCTGATCAGATCTCTCAAGAGATGGACGTAGTTTACACACTAGTTTATATTGTGCAAATGCACTCCTGGTCACTGCTAAGACCTGGGCATCCAGGCTCAGGGATGAATCAGGACCATCCTCAAGCTGCACATTTGTTTTTTTTTTAAATTTGTTTTTAATATGGAGTGTACCCCATCCAGTACAGGCTGCATTCTTATTTCTTGAGCTGCCTTTTGACTGACCAGAAGCACCTCTGTTTTATCTGGATAACTACATATTTAGGTCATTAATATATATGTTAGCCTTGCAACTTTGCATGTCCACTGTGTCTGAAGTCAAGAACACCCTCAGGTGTTCTGGCTCCCCATTCTTTCCTGCTGGAACAGACACAATCAGTTAAATTTCTACTTAAACCTGTGTCAACTTTTCTCAGCTTTGAGAATCTTGCATTGAATAGTTGGTGCATATGAAACTTCAACAGGCTGCTCTTTGTATCCCCACCATACTACCAGTTTATCGATAAGAAAAGATGGCTCAATCTAGAAGACCTTTCCAAATACTAATAACACATGGTCCATGTTTTAACATGGACTTTTCACAAGGAAAGGCTCTCCTGCAGGAGAAGAAAACACTCTTTTATCCCAAGCTTGCCTCCTGTCTGGTGATCATTCTCCTCAAAACTCAAACAGCCCCCCTTCACATTTTCCTGCAGGACATCGGAGAGCAATCTGAAGTCCACATTCTTAGCTTAGGGTGGTTCCAAGAGAATCCATTCCTGTGTTCCTGCTGCTGGGGCTCAGAAGAGAACTTGTTGCTTTGCCATCATTGATGCAAAAGGTCAAAGGGAAAAAAATAATAAGGTCCAACTTCTGATTTCCAAAGTCTACTGGAGGTCTGAAAAGGACGTGAGAGGCCTCAACATCTAACTGAACAGTAGTGAACGGTTGGTTTTGGCGCAGAACACATGCCCGTTGGCCAAGGTAAGTAAAAGGCTTTTTTAAAAACGGGAGCAGGAGCCATGGCTGGGGTTTCAGAGAACCGTGTCTGTATTAGCACCACGGAGGAAAGAGGAGAGTGTGGTTAAGGCTGGCAGGGCAATAGCCACGCTAATTCGGTGATTAATATTTTCCTGTATTTGGGGCTTTTCTTTCAAATATGAAACTAACTATCTCCAATAAAAACAATTAAACTCAGCAGTTTAATAATGGGAATCTAAGGAGCTGCCATTGCTGGGCTTTTTACGACTGGGCGTCACCATCTGCCATATGGAAAATGTAACCCAAAGTATGGAAGTTCAGAGTGGGAGAATTGAGCCTGCAGGATTGAAGCTGCATTATTTATAAGCGGGACTGATTCTAACTTGATAAATATTTTCTTCCCATTTCAGAGCTTTTGAATTTTTTTTTTTAAACAAACAAACCCAAAACTTCTCATTCAGGCTTCAATCTCAGAATGTGCTGTGGGAAATACTAAGTGAAGAAACAGAAGAGATAAAACCCACACCTACATATCTATGCTTTGATGCAGTTGAGTTTTTACTTGCCAAAAACCTTACATATGATACTGAAATGATTTATAATCAAATAAAAACACTTAGGAGGTGCATCACATAACTAATGCATGAAGAATTTAAGATAATATCCTGGGGGCCCATAAATGGTTAGCTTAGGCGTGTATGAAACAGGTGGAGAAATTGTCCCAAAACATATGATAATTTACATCCAGACCCACCTTTAACTGGAGAATCACAGTGTTCCCTCTCAATTTAAAAGAGAAAGCTTATCTGCCTTCAGGGTCAGAACTGGCTTAGTTACTGCTACAGATGGCTCTCCATTTTATACTCTCTTCAGACACTGAGGTTTGCAGTGAACAAATGAACTCGTCCCACCCGCTGAAGCAATTTGCTTCCCATGGACTTTTTGCTATTGTTAATATTGCTTCAGACTTTATAACAGGTCCATCTAATTCCTTGGCGACCAGGTCAGAAAAGATTCCTCTCTTTAGTGGCCAATCTCCATATAGCAAGACTGAAAATATGCTCAACAAGGGGGATAAGTCCACCTTCAGCTTGATATGAAGATCCTTCAAATTGCAGTACACAGCTGAGTGGGAAATTACTGGCCCTCCAGAGGGGTTGGGACATCAATTCCTGGAAAGTCTAGCCTGCACGGTCAATGGCAAGGGACTTAACTAATCACCGAATGCATCTGCAACTGAGCGACTTAACTAATTACCCAATGCACAGATGTCATGACCCTACAGTTCAATCTGGTATGAAGAAATAAACATTTCAAGTTACTTAAGTCTGTCTTCTCAAACTTATGGACAGTGCTGTCTGTACAC